TCAATTTGAAAGAAATGTGCTTAGAGCTTTCTAGTATAATGCCCAATTATCATTTCTTTTAGGATAATTGTTTGCGTGAATTTCTTTTCGTGAAGCCTTCGTAAAGCGTTCCGGAAATTGGGCGACACTTGGGAGATAAGATGTAGGATTCGTTCGAAGCTTAATTGATAAAATATACCGTTTCTCGGTTAATGAGATCTAGTGAAATGTGTTTTTTTGGTGGAAATATATATATTTTTAAGTTTTACCCCTAATTTTTTTATAGAAGCTTTTAAGCCATTAAACGTATATCTACTGGACACTGATCTCCTTCTCTTTTAAAGTATAACATTATCGCTACTGCAGTTCGAGTTGGCAGCTAAACAAAAATCGCTACAAAATTAATGATGATAATCAGAAACAACAATTTAAATACTACTGTATCCTTTCTTACCAGAAATTATATTTTATAGACAAGTACTAAATAATAAAACTCTACATTGAGTGACTGTGGCGGTCTTCACTTGCATGTGGCAGTAAATATTTTGGCTGTTACTATATGAAGGAGTACTGATATTTCATAATTTACCTTTATGTCTTTGTAAAATTACTAGTTACGAAGTCTTTAAGATGATGTTAAAAAATGTATAGTTAAACAAAACATTGTATAATTATTGTATATATAATGATTTTAACTTTGATGATTAGTTAGTTTAGTAATATGGAAATAAGTAAAGAATAAAGTTCGTAAATATGCATGTTGACAAAGAAAGCCAAGCCCCATAATATTGTCTTACAAAAGTAAGAAATAAACTATCCGTAGTGTTCCATGGAGAATCAAATAACACTCCACTTTAGCGCGAAAGCCTTCTTTTAGGTGTTTACATACTTTATTGCCTTTAACCTTATATTGAATTTCTCAAGCCTGTATTTACGCGCTATAATAGATTTCTCTGCTTGCCAACGTTCCCAGATATCTTAGTGTTCTATCACGTTTTTCAGTAGAAATGAGTAGTCAAGTTGCTAATTTGTTTTACGTTTTTCGATAAATGATTCATGTTCAGCCATCAGCGATTCCTTTCAAGACATTCCTTGTAGATTGCATACCCCCTTATGTTTGAGTGAACTTATTTTGATTCCGCTACTCAAATTTTCCTTCTACAAAAACGTTATTTTGGGCATCCAAATAAGTTTTTGCAAACCCAGTCATCATCTTTATAAAGTTAGGTTGTTAGCCACGACGTCGATCGCGTCCCTTCCTTTCTTGCAAGTTAATCTTAAAAGATAGACATATAGCGTCGCGGACTTTTTTTAAGATCACTGAAAGAGGAACCATTCTTTTATACACATTTTTTAGGTATCATGAATCGTTTTCACAGCGTACGCATCTGAAACCCACAGAGCCTATATTTTATAGCCTATAGTCTTCCTCGATAAATGATCTAACCAACACAAAAAGAATTTTACAATTCGAACCCGTACTTCCTGAAATTAGCGCGTTCAAACAAACAAACAAACTCTTCAGCTTTATATATTAGTATAGATATAGATAACAAGAATAAATGCGTTTCTTTCATTGTACCAATAAAAAGTACGAACAAAAATAGGTTCTATTGTATAAGACTCTAGCAACCATTAAGAAGTTTATCAACCACGAGTGAATCTTTAGAAGTTTGTCTTTCCTCGACGTGTTTCAGCCTTTAGTCCAGGATCGCTCAACAACTTCACCAGATGCCACGAAGAAACGTCGAGAACCATTTCTTGGTCACGATGACCAAACTACTTGAAACGAAAATAGTATAAAATTGGTTAATGTATTAAGCACTATTAAATTGTATTTTTATTTTCTCACATACATTTTTCTGACTTTTAATTTTGCATTAAATGTTGTCTATAGGTTGTGTATTTATTTGAATAAATAATCCAGTTCAGTTACATTATGAAAGCCCGTACTAAATTTGCCCCGCCCATTGCACTCTATGCTAGTCTATAAGTTTTTATTCTGTATCATGATTTTTTGTGCAATAAAGAATAAATAAATTATGCACCAAATAAGGTCATTTTATCTACGAGTTTGCAAAACTCCTGAGCTTAAATTTTATAGTGCTTATCATAAATTTGAGGGTGCTACCTAGAGGGCAATAAAATGTCTAAAAGGAGGACACAATAGCGCAAATTCGAGCGGCGAAAGAAAGAGGGTGCGTGCCGTTTCCGACCTAGATGTGAAATATGAATAATTGTCAGGGAAGACAAACATTTTCGCAATTACAGTTGTCAGTTAATAAAGATTTTCATAAGAATGTTTCGTACACAAACACATTTTTCACAACTTCATATTTAGTCACATTTTCTACTATCTTACCTTAAGTACTGGATGCCCTTGGTTTGAACATCGGTAAAGTATATAAACTTGCTTTAGTTGCGCAGCTCAACTATTTCCGTATTAACAAGATTTCACAATTGAATAATTATTTTTAACAATACAGTTTGTACAGAATATTGAATCACGATATGCATATGTAAAGACCGGAAACGGATGGGATTACAGTGCATCGTGTGTCATAGTTCAAAGATATTTCAGTATCGCATTTTGATTTTGTCTATTCGAGATTTTTTTTAAATGAACTATGTATTGATCCAGACTGATGACACCAGTAGCCTCATCTTAACGTATCTATGTACGAAAAGTTACAAAAACTAAACAGGATACTTTCAACAAATTAAAAGTAATACTTAATATAACTAAAGTGGTGAAAGAGTCTGTTATACCCGTACAATTACTAATTTACAAAGTAAAATGAATGAACACTATTTACTAAGGGATTAAGCATTTGAGAAAATAATGTGAAAAAAGCTTTCTGATTTCTAATAATAATTTTCATATTTTAGCAAATGAATAGAAGTTGTCAGTGTGTGAATAAACTACTTCGTTACTTGCGTTGTGTTTTGTTTCATGCCAGAGCTTCTGGGTTCTGATCCTGAGAAAACAATTGTTTATCTATTAAGATATGTGTCTGTATGGTCTACATAAGAAAAAGGCGGTTCAATTTATTAAGCTATTTTTCACAAAGCTTAGACCGTATTGACTTTGCTTACCTTAGTAATTAATTATTTGTTCTTACAACTATTTGAAATATACATAAATATATCTAAAATCATGTTTTTAATATCTAATATACCATAGCGTCCGCGTTGGTCCATAAGTGAGTGAGGCATATACGAGTACGTACTTGTATTTTAACGAGCTCATACTCCAAGGCTTCTTTATAAGTTTAAATCGCAGAAAATAAGAAACATGTATGACAGGAAACCTAATTCCGTTATTATTAAACATAGCAAACAAATCACCAAAACGGGACTTCGCCATTAACAATACGAGTGAGCCGTAGTCCCCTTTGTCTTACATTTGGCATGTCCATTAGCCGTCCATTTGGGAACGTCTAAGATGGATATTACTCATTCTTTCAGAAAAGTATCTGAATTCTGTCTTACGTGACAAATTCAGATACTTCATCGTCTAAAATCTGAAATATAAACTTAACTTAGTCTTTTACTGAGTTCTGGCATAATATAGGCTGATAAGTACAATAACTTTAATAAAATCCTTTTAACGATTTAAAACGGAAATGTTATAACTTTAACTACGGCCCGACGTTTCTGATGCTTTGCAGCAGCCGTGGAGAAGGAAAGACTCCCCGTTAAATCTGTTTTATTCAAATGTGCACTACTCCTATAAAATACAGACATACTGTGTGTTAAGTTTTATTATTTAGATTGTAGATCAGATAGTGTAAGCGTTTGAAAATCTATTAAACATTTATTTTATTAGTTCTATGTAGACGTTAAGTAGACAAGAAGAAAGTAATATTTCATGGATCTGAACTGTCAAACTTATTATCTTATATCAGACAGAGTATAGCAATAAAAATCGCTGATGCGGAAAAATTACGTTTTCAGAAGCTAGGTAACTGATAGCATAGGATCGCCCTTGCCTGGCGTTGGATTTTATGGCCGGAATTTCCGAATTCCGCATCCTTTGCGTGAGACATGCCCATTGCCCATTCTGCCCATTCTGCTCACTTCACACCGCTACGTACCGTCTACAAAATTTATTGAATGTCTCAACAATACTCTGAGGTTATAAAGGACTCACGAAACACCTAAACCAATGTGATATAATTTTCCTTAGAAAGTTTATTATTGTGAAAAAGATAAATAAAATACATTATTTTTTCTAAAATGTTTAATATTTAAATAACTTGAACGGCGTAGTAGAAAAACAACTTTCATATTAGTAGTCAATACACAAAAACCACAACATATCTAAATAAATCTTACACTTACAGTAATTTAGTAAAATACGAAAACCTAAATAAAATTTAAAACATGCGTAACAGATCGTAAAATTGACAGTTTCTTAACGATTATGATTTCTCCTCGAACTATATTCACAGGGATTCAAACTTGCTACGTTTAAATAAATATTAATGACAAATTTCGATTTAAGATTTAGAACTACATAGTATAATATTTTTTACAAAATTGTATTAACTATTATAAAGGTCCCACGAGTACTTGAAGAAATGTGAGCGATAAACTTTTTGTGACGAATAAAGACGATTTAAACAGTCTTCTGAAATAATATTTTACAGATGAGACAGCTCGTTACGCGTAATATTTTTGTCAAACTTCGTTACCGTATACTTGGGAGAAGTGAACGCTGACGCTGCGTAAAATCAAATAAAGTGAGTGAAAGCCCTCGTGCCTTCCTGTTTATCTAATACGGCCAACGCCGACGTGCCGCGCCGAAATGATTTGAATGGGAGGAAGGATATAACAGGACTTGGCAATATTTGTATTCCAAAAGAACACGATTCCGCTTCGATAAAATTCGACGTTCACAATCATAACATAAATATTTATCGTGGCAGCAAAAAATAAAACTTACAGGAATATATCTAATACAAACTTCTACTATTTACAAGTTTATAATACATCGATTCGTTAAAACTTCACTAAGTTCATACAGAAGTTGTGATTTGTTCTATCAAATGATGTTCACGGCGTGGACAGTGAGCTCTGCAGGAACCCGCTCGGCTCCAAGTTCCCCGACGCGCTAGACCTTCGGGGACACTGCGAGAAGGGCGGAGCGTAACACGTCGGCAGCACTCCGGGTATTGAGCGGCTGAGCAACAGGGTCTATTTAATGGCGCACCGTACGAGAGAGACTTGGGTAGACGTGTCGTGCTGCAGGAGGAACCAGTCCACGCGCAATAAGTGGTCGCACCGCCAGCACTACACGCGCACCATGCCGGTTCACATCGCGGTGGCGTCAAACACAAACACGCTTCGGAAATCGTCGGCGCGGGCAGCAAAGGAGGGTCGGGTTCCCGTTTGGAAAAACCCACGAAAAATAATAGTATAGCCCCGATCAAAGTTGATGCCGTGGAGAAATAAAAGCCGGCTCTAGGCACCTGCTGATTTATATAACCGGTCACTGGCACGCCGACTATAACAGGAATCGCTTCGGCGCCTTGAACGAAACCTGTTAAGAGAATAGTCGATTTAGTTGGGAAGTTTTAACTGGAGATTTGGAACTATCGAACTAAGTACTCACTCCAAACTTTGGTGAAGTGCCGACCCCGAACCCGTTCCATTGTAAGCATTTTCATAGAGTAGAGAAAACCGCCCAGGCACAGGCCGTACATCCAAGCGAAGAGCACGTACCCGTGATAACCTTCGACGCTGCTCAGCGCTAATATTGATATTCCTGAGGAAATATTTCAGTGATTATCATGTAGCAAAAATATCTCCTAACCTAAATATTATGCGGTTACGCGTGAAATTGGTAAACGGATAGAGGTGACAAATTGATTTCTTTAATGACAAGACCGCTTGGCAGTAATATGAATTGCTCCTTAGGTTATTAAATTCACAATGTATATATATTTTTAATATATATACATTGTGAATTTATTATAAGACATTTAAAAAAGCCGGACTGAGTTTCTTGGGTGTTTTTCTCATTTATGTTGCTCTTTTGAACACTCTGTAAAATCACGACAAACAGACAGACAAACAAAAAAAATTTGACGTATCTTTTTTTTTAAAGAGAATAATTAAAAATTTTTAAAGAGAATAAAGTAATATTTTATTTTTTTTTTTAATTATAGTTTTTGTGAATTATTAAGACGCAATACACACGAAAATTTATATAATTATCACATATAGGTGGTGTTTCAAGACAAGTACTTTCTCTCATTTATGAAATATAGTGTATCCTCCCTCGTATTTTAATTTCAAAGCGTATTAAAATTTACTGTCATATCATGTTTATGTTTGACCCAATTAAGTATTTGTATGGACTCTTTTCACACACATTAATAAGTAATATAGAATTACCTATGCCCAGCATTGCCGTTTGACAGAGGTACTGTTTGGAAACGAGACACTGTGCGGACGGCCTTACAAGCACCAAACCGAAGCCAGCGCACCCCAGCACTGCCGCGAAACCCAGAAACGTTTGAAGCAGAACCAGAGCACTCTCTTCTAAACCTTCTTGAAAACCTTGAAGAGCCTGCAATTTAATAGAATCTGTAGTTTACACAAGTAGGTACTATACAGTAACAATAATATTTTTTTACGGGTTGCTCAATTCAGAACGAAAAACGAACGCTGAGTGGTATCAAAAAAAATTCTACGTAAAATTATAAATTAAACAATGAAATGTGTTTTAATAGATGCGAATAGTTATCTTAAATATTCTACAAAAGCTGTCGCCTGATCTTCTTCACTCTATATAATTCAATTAATTTGCAAGCGCTATTATTATTTATAAGCAAAAAAATTAGTTTTCCCCTACCTAAGTCGTATTTTAGAACAAAAAATCGCAAAGAATGGTCAATGTCATTATGTTTTAAATTAATATATTTATTATGGTAAAAGTGTGTTTAGCTGTTAAACACATAAACAGCCAGAAACAAAATGATTAAAACAATAATGATACGAAAAAAACTTTTTCGAAATAAACAAAACAAATTAAGCGACTTTTGTCGTTTTGGCATAAAAAAAGGTCTGCGTGATACAGATATCACGTAATAAATTAGTTATTTTACTTACCAAGAAAAATACGGGGGTGTACAGACCAAACGCCGCCATACTCGCTGCTAATAGCAAAACTTTTGCGGGCCGGGACTGTAGCGGACTCAGGTCGATAAACTGGGGCTTTTTTAGGCCTTTCTTTTCCTTCACCTGTTACAACAATTAATTGTCACTGACATACCGTCCGAAGTTATTAATTAGAACAAATCGCCTTTGAGAAATTATTTTTTTATCTCACTCGTAACTTTAACGCTCAAAACTTAAATAAAAACGTAATTTCTATACCTACTGTAATCTATACTAATATTATAAAGCACTAATATTATAAAATGTTTGTTTGTTTGAACGCGCTAATCTTAGTTACTACAGGTTCGAATTGAAAAATTATTTTTGTGTTGGTTAGAACATTTGTCGAAAAAGGCTATAGGCTATAAAACATCACGCTAGTAGCAATGTTTTGGGTTTCCGTTGCGTGCCCTGTGAAAACGGTTTATTATACCCATTTCATGCATGCATTTGCATGCATGAAATTATAATTCCTCTTTAAACGACCTAAAACAATGTCCCCGACAAATAACTTGTATGTCTATCTTTTAAGATTAACTGGTCGCGGATGACATTGTGGGTAGTTGCTAAAATGTATAAAAAGGAGAAGGTTCGCACATTAAACTTTTGCCCAAAATATCTATTCTACACAGCTAGTTGGTAAAATTATTGATAAATATTGTATCGTAACACCTTTTTTCGTTCTTCAGCGCAATCACGCACACGATACAGAAGTTGGTTCAAATAAATGTAAAACAGACATAGAAATGTGTCTGTTTAATTTGAAATTGAGAGAAACGTCATTCACACAAATTACCTTTTTCCGTTGGTTTTTGAGATGCAAGATGGCTCTACGCTGTGGATGATAAAGAGAAGCGCTGCGATATACAGCACTTAGGAAAAATGCTAGTATCAATATGCCCGTGATCGCTTGGAGACCAAGACGCCATCCCAGTTTCCTGGAAATAGCACCTACTTGTAACCGATATCCTGTTCAAACAAGTATTTTGTAAAATACTTAGATAAAGTGACGGGATAGGTAGCATATAAGGCTATAATAATCAACAGTCGTGGGTTCTATTGCCCCCGGGTGCCGAATTTATCTGGAAACCTGGATATTAGATCACCTACACCAAATGCGCTGTCAACATATTTTGGCTTTGGATATTCGGAAACCCACAGACTGAAACCGAAACGCGATTACATATCGCGGCTTTATTATCTGTGGACGGTGGTTCGTGACCTGGAATTTCGATATTCTTTGGTGGTAAGTGTCAGTATGTGGCTGGGGTAATTAACGTATCATCAAGTGCATACGGTTATGCTTGTCTTATTTATTTATTTGGTTTCCATAAAATACACATGCCTATTATACACTTATACATAATACGGATCATTAATTTTTACATATACGTCAATCACACAGAAACACTTACAAATACGGTTAAATACTCACAAATAAGGCTATAATGCTATTTAAAACTAATACTGAACAAAAGAAAGTAAAATAACAAACATAAAGATGTCTTTCTATATGTTTCTTATTTTAGTTTTAATAAACTAAACATCGCCTTAAAATAGTTTCACGTCTTTGAAATAACGCGTTCTGTCAAGCGGCAGAGAATACTTCAATTGTTATATATTTATAAATTATAGTTTATAATATATATAAACGTACAAATATTTGTCTGTCGAACTGTTCAGTATTATTTATGGAATTCCATTTGCGTGGTGTGAATCGAAAACCACTACACTCCGAAATGCAGTTGCCCAATACGTTGCAACGTCTGCGCGCTTTGAAGTGTACTCTGAGCGTCGGCCGTCGATTGAATAGTTTCTGATTTAAGCTCTCTAAACGCTGGATTCGGATCCAAATGGTATACATAAAATTCTGTTTTCAATGCGTCCTTAGAAACTGACATAAATATGTATTTAAATAAAATACTTTTACAACATATTTGCTCGTAAAGTGGTTGTAATTACACCAATTTCAATATCGTACTTGTGCAATAATGTATTGTAAAAGGCACGTGTTTTTTTAAATAAAGTTTTAAGATACTTCGTCTAAAAATGAACGATACTTTTAATAATCTTAGCAAAGAGGTTTTATGTCCAGAAAGTGGTCAATATTTTATGAGTAAAATTAAATTAACTTTGGGAAATATAACAAATAAACATTTAATTCTTTAATTTAATTAATTTTGACAATAAATTACAACCATTTATCTTTAACAAAAACACAAAAATAATAATTTACTTTATTAGTAATACTGGTTGTTTTTGTACCGTTGCTTAAAAAAAACGTTGATGCGCGCGCATCGCTTATTTGTGGACAAGTAAAAATAATTCCGCGCGCTTTTTCTTCTCGCGGTTTTGTTTTTATTTGAAAAAGTTGTCATATTCGTTTAACTAAGTTAGAGTTTTATTAATTTCCTCGTAAATATGTTATAAAACGTCGTATGACATACGTGCGCTTAGAAAATTACAATCTCTGCTTTTTTATAGCCCTCGCCGATGGCTCGGGCTAGTAAAATCGCCTCGGCTGTAATTTTCAACTTACCGCACTTATATCATAATGTATTATAACGGTTTAAAACGCAAAATTATTTTAACTAACTACTATTATAAATAATAAATAATAAAGTTAAATTACAAAATACTTCTTTAGAGGGAACACAGTAAAATGCATATAGAAGCTCTTTATATAAAGATTTTAGGAAGTGTCGCGGGTTCAAGGTCATTATTATTTTTTAATCTTTCTGAAATTAGTTTCAGCTTCAACACAGTACTGTAATAAAGTTTTTCAACACTAAGCTTAAATATGTTTGTTATGCATACACTGAACATTTTGTGTTACTTTGACGTAGTTCTAAGTGAACTCCCGAAGTAAATACACGAATAGTAGAACAAATAAAACTCACCCTACAGCCTCTTTGTAGGCAACGCTGAAGAGAGCTATGCCCACACCTCCCCCCGCATGAGCTACAAGTTCCACGAACTGTCTCCGTCTTCTGAAGTACGTGCCTAGGACAAGGCTGGCTGCTTCTCGAACCAGGCCACAGCCGATACCCAGAACCACACCTATTAAAACGGATAGAAAATAATGAGACAGAGATTTTTACCCGCTTGTGGTACCTATTTGACTATTTTATAAACAATCTAATCCATACGAAAATACACAATACATATATATATTAATTGTATAATTATAATTATATATTTTTTATTGTATATATATAAAAATACATTAATGGTTTACATTAAATTACATACAATAACTTTGCTGTGGAAGGACATCACTCAGCTGTTGCTGCAACAACAGACTGCAGCACCTATTTCCAGTGATGCCCCATGGATGACACTTGGATTACTATGTCGTTTATTGTAAAAGGTCAAGGTCTTAATTTTGGCATTCTAAAACGCAACCAGTTTACAGGGTTTAAGAACATCTTAGTAGCTGGCCTATAACCTCAAAAAAGAGTGACGTCCCAAGCGTAGGAACAGTAAAAAGAAATTAAACTATTATTACCATAACTCAAAAGCGTTTGATGGAGCTGCGTAGCGAATGACGTGAAGAGACATGCAAGCGGTAAGAGAATGCCTCCCAACAGGGCTGCTAGTCGAGGAGATCTTCTGCGGCAGGTTACGATGGCGCCTGCAGCACGTGACACCCCTACGCAGATGGCACCTGCCCAAACTGAAGACAAAATCATTATTGCATATGGGTATATTTTATGACAGAGGTGGAAAGACAAAGAACAAGATGTGTTGTTGACCTATTTTAGCTATGCATATTCGAAAACCACACACTGACACCGAAACGCGATTAAACTTGACGGCTTTTTTTATCTGTGGAGCGTTGTTCGTAACCCGGACGGAATTTCGATATACCTACCATCTATATAATATCCAGATTTCTAGACGAAGTCCAAGGTGTTTTAAAGAAAAATATAATTTATTTAGATAAATGTTGGACCCGTGGGGATCGAGCTCTTTGATTATTAGACATACATTGCTACACATGAGCCAGTCAAAATATTTAATTGAATCACTGCATTTCGATCGAATTGGAATTCCGAGATAATAAAATTGCCGAACTGAGTAATGCAACAGACACAGAAATAAGTCTGCCTCGAGCTTAATATACGAAAAAAGGATATTTAACATAAAGCGTAATTTTAGGTCTAATCAAATAATACCAAAAGATACAAAGTACTTGACAAACAAATGTCGATGAAAACTCCATCTAATTTATAAAGAAAACAAGCGATCGATTTTAAATTATTAATCAGAGTTACGAAGTTCTCCAAGATCTTCCGTCCTGACAATTTCTGTTATCAAACAATAAGCGCACCCTCATTATTCTTTGTCTTGATAATATTAATTACAACCGAAAAAGCTTACACTTTGTTTAGATCTTCGGATACAAAAAAAAATCAATTTAGTGTCTATTTACCGAGCAAATTAATTTTTTGACGTTTTATTTACTTAACGAAATTATCTTTATGCTAAAACTTTAATTTGTATTCATGAGATAAAAGATTAACCGGCTGCTTTAGGGAAATATTAACTCAGCGGAGTGATTTTATGTTTATCGCGTGTAAAATGTTCTCTTGCATGTGGTATGGGTGCTGTTTTAAAAGTGTTTGAGATTTACGTTTGATTTGGAAATGCAACAGCGTCATATGACTTATTTGAGGTTTGCCTACCTAAAGTCATAATTTGTTATGACAGAGAACATTTTCAAATAAGTTTAACTAATATACCGCGTTTTAAACCGTTAAAGTGTTTTATTTAAATGTGTACTACTCGAGAAAACTATAGACAGCATCACTTTAATTAACAAGGCTGGAAACTAAAACATTTAAATAAGTTTAACTAATATACGCTTTTAAACTTAAGTGTTTTATTCAGCAATCCATATGTAAACTAAAGTATTTAACACAAATTTAAACACAACCTGTGAACGGTTATTCTAGACATGAACAAAATTTCGAATTCCCAACATCCAGAAAAGACCAGATTTTCACACAAATTATAAATTGATTTTACAATCACGTTGGACCCGATGGGAGTTTTATTGGACCAACGAGCCCGACAGATCTCGAATAAATCGCCTAACATCGTTCCATTAGCGTACCTTTTTTGTTGCTGCACGTTTATAAACCCGGCATTAGTTCCAACTGTAATGTAACGCGAGGACGGGTTTCACTTAACACAATTATCTCGGGCGCGTTAAGCTTTCAAATATCGCGTTTTGTTGCGGCCGTAATCGTTGTCTATTTACATAAATCCTTATTCCCAATGTAAAATAAATCCCCATTGTGCCGCTTAACGCGTTCATTGAATACACAATACATTCTCGTGATATTTCCATCTCCTGTAATTAACGACTCGTGTGCTAGTAGAGCCCTAATTTAAATACGAAGCCGAAATTCTGATTATATAATTGTTTATGTTTATTCACCCTTAATCATCACAATGCTGGTGCTCAAAACGTCAAAACACTTTCATTTCAGCTAAACAATGTGGCAGTTTCCAAAAAATAACTATAGATCAGCGTCGAGTATTTTCTGGGACAAGAAACCTCATCAAAGTCGAGTGCCGTGAAATGACTACGGGGTTTTGAATATCTGGATAAGCCGAAATTTAATGAAAGGCACATTTTTCCTTCTCTTAATTTAATAAAAGACTTACTTCCTTGATTAATGTTTTGAGTTGTCTTTACCAAGAAAAGTTACTTATTTAAATAAAAAGCAATTAGATGTGTGAAGCAACAATTTAATTAAATACTGTCTATAGTTTACGCGAGTAGTACACATTTAAATAAGACACTTTAACGGTTTAAAACGCAATTTGTTAGTTAAACTTATTTAAAAATTATTTTTTCCTTCGGCTCGATGTTTCGGATGCTTTGCAGCAGCCGTCACATATCACATATAACAATTTTCAATCGAATAATAATATTATTGCTTTAGCTACTAAATGTTTGTGAATTTAATATAATTTTCGGGTTTCGAAGCTGAGGGGGAAAACGAGCTTTTATACTAGTCACTAGTCTATGGTCCGGAATCAGTCTACGAGACAAGGCACTGGTTCGGTTTTTTTTAATATACATAAATTTACCTGTAACGCTTCAATGGACAATAAAATGCAATTTTTATTACCTTTTTACGTATACAAGTGTCAGTGTCTATCTATTAATTGATTTGTATTAATTTCAAATCGTAGAGTCCAAATAAAGGGCATATTTTCAGTGCGAACGACGCCGAACTCATTAGACTCCGAGTTCCGAACCAGAAGCAACTTCTATGAGTAATGGTTTCATAGCCGCCTCTACTGACAAAGACCTCTATAAACGGAATTACTTCCGCCTTTTAATATTCAAGCCAGGTCGTGAATCTCGGAAAATTAATTTAATAAATCACTCCTGTCCACAAAATGGTTACTGAAAACTTTGTTTAAATGTAATTAAAGATGTCGCTTATAATAATTCGGTTTGCTCCGGACTGCGGTGAGGCGGGACGATTCTTCGGTTTTCCAATTTCGGGTTATTTATCATGTTACAACTAAGGTTTGACTTCGGCTCTAATAGAATTACTAAGTTTGAGAAAACCTGAGGAACTTTCCATCATTATTTTTCTTGTTCGTTTTGCCTTTTATTTTTAAAACGTTATATGTGTGTGAAATCCCCTTTCACCCTTGTGGGGCATGAGGCAAACATATTTCTGTGTCCGTTTCACTGACCCGTTTTTTAACAGGCAAGTAGTTAATCAGACTTCTGTGCCCTGCTCGATCGAAATATTTTCTGTTTCCCTGGGATTCGAACGCAGAACCTCTCGCGCGTAACGCAATGCCACGTAACACGTTTAACCATTTGGTTACAGAGGCGGTCAACACGTTAGATGCTATAAAGATTATCAATATATTTATACAAATATACTTTTCAATTCGCCGTTTGATACAAAAAGTAGTATTCATATGTATTTACCAAAGTAACAACGTTTTATTTGTATATCGATGCGTCGGGTCGTAGTCAAATTAAATTAACGTTTCGCATTTTTGTTGTTAAAGTTAGTCAGCCATGTCCTGTAGTTGTAACTTTATTTTGAGTTCATGTACTTATTACATGTCATAAAATTATCTGACTATTAACAAAATTTTATAAATCAAAATTCAAAGGAGATATGTAAATTGGAAATTGTCTCAACAATGAAGATCTAAATCGAGAGTATTTATTTAGAACAGTTTGTTAAATTCCCGAAATCGAGATGAACTGTTTGTTTGTTCCCTCTGGGGCCTATTGACAGATTACGTCTTCGGCCCCAGAGCGAAATGGATTTTCCCTAAATGAAACACTTAGTCACGTCATACAATATCGCCAATCCTGTTAATTAATTCGGGGTGTGGTCAAATCAAATAGTTACTGTGTATGTAAGGAGAGAACGAGACGCCGTGTTAAGGTCTTTACAAATGTAAATATGATTATTTATATAACTTATTATTTACAAAACACCACAGGAATGGTTTTCATTAATAACACACTTAGAACTAGCTTATAAATAAAAGGTGGCTTTATTGAAAAACAGCGATCTTTTCCAGGCAAACAAATGTGAAGGAAAAACAAGAAAGAAAAGACTGTAAGTATATAGGTGGTGCTAGAGAAGAACGTGGAATAGCAAGGCAATTAAGATAATATATTATTTATTTGGAACTATAGTAATTTATTCTTGACAATAATAGGGTCGAAGCAATGTTTTGATTGAGTTAAAAAATAAGTCCCGTGATTTAAACCTCAATATTATAAAGACACATCTAAGTTCAAATAATTATATATTTCCCTTAAAACTGTACTTTTTCTATTTGCATTACCTCGCTCTACAATAAAACTATTTTAAGAATATCAAAATATGAAAGCAATACTGACATTTCAATAACTACTGGTAAGATAAGAAAATATAGATGCTGACCGCGCTTTGAATTTTTCTGTCGCTCGTGTTCTTGTACCGACATCTGATTGTATCAGCGGAACATTGTGACAGGTTTGCTCGGGAAAATAAAGTAGTAACAGAAAATAGTTTTCTGTGTAATCATATTTTGTTGTCGACTGGAAATATTATAGGTTCTTTGCTATTTCTATAATTAATTTACGTTCAGGGAGTAGAACAGTTTCCTTTGTTATAACTTTTATGCGTATACTTAGCTAAAACTTAAGTCTTTTTTATGTTACAGGACAGACAAGCAAGGGTTTGACGTGACGGTAGATAAAATTCCTCACCTATACAACATCTCAACAAATGATGTCTATAGTTTACGCGAGTAGTACACATTTAAATAAAACACTTTAACGGTTTAAAACACGATATATTGGTTAAACTTATTTGAAAATGATTTCTAACGGGGTGACTGCCGAGGTCACCACTGCTGCAAAGCGTCCGAAACGTCGGGCCGAATTTAATAATCATTTTCAAATAAGTTTAACTAATATATCACGTTTTAAACCGTTTAAGTGTTTTATTTACATCTCAATAAGATGCGTTGTCAATTATTGTGGCTTTGGATATTCGTCTTTATTGGATGTAGGTGCATAAACCTAACGCCATATGTATAAATATAAGAAGTTCATTTAAAATTAAAAACACATAGCATATACAATTTTGCTGTTCAATATTCAACATTCATTTGACTTCATTAATTGCAATAATACTTTCTGTTAGATTGTATTTGTCGTCCCAATTTTAAATACGATTTTCGTGACGAAGACAATACAGGATCCATGTCACGTAAGCCAATTTAATTTGGTCCTATTGGACACAAACAATAATTAGACGTACCTGCGTGGTCAGCGGCCGGGCCCAGGTGTCGCAAAGCGTAGACGTGTAGTGCCCCATACGCAAGCTGGAGTCCAGTTGAAAGCAAGTGAGCCAGGAACGCCGCACCACAGACTATCCACCTGAGAAAATTTTGTATTTACAATGTATACAAACTTTAGGACAAAAGAGATACATTTTCTTCGGGTTTTAAATATGTAAACTTTTAAAGAAAACACTTTAACATTTTAAAACGCGACATATATTAGTTAAACTTATTTAGACATTATTTTAACGGCCCTACGTTTCGGATACTTTGCAGCAGCTGTGGGCACAGGTCTCCCTCACATCCGAAACATTATTTTTTACGATTGTTTGTATTTATTACTTGATGAGAATATGTATTTGTAATGTATCGAAAATAAGAGATTTAATATAGAAATAAATTCTAAATACTGTCTATAGTTTACGCGAGTAGTACACATTTAAATAAAACACTTTAACGGTTTAAAACGCGATAGATTAGGTCTCCCTGTGACCACGGCTGCTGCAAAGCATCCGAAACGTCGGGCCAAAGTTAAAAATCATTTTCAAATAAGTTTTAATACATTTAAACCGTTAAAGTGTTTTATTTAAATAAATTCTACCTGAAGCCTGTTAAGCGCTGTTATTTTATGTTATGTATATAATTTAATTCTAAGCTGAGACAAAAAAAAATACAACTCTATAATAAATTTTAGGCATTCGTCTGCTTAAAATATTTTATTTGTACCTTCTCTTCTAATAGACATTACAAAACAAAATGCATGAAACATTTCTACACTGAATACGGATAAGAAATAAAAAATATTTATGCCATATGAATGGACAACCTTAAAAATCCCATCCATGATTTATGGGTTGAGGATAACAGGTTGTATATTAAAGTTTTTACTGTTATTCATTTATTACCGTTTTCAACCAAATGTGGCTTATGGTGATATATTTTATAGCGGGTAGTAAATTAACATTATTTTACCTGAAGTATTTCGTCCGAATTTGATTACTATGACAACGGCTTTTGTTAGTTCTCAAAAGATAGAATATACATATACTTTTACATTTTTTTTAGATAATTTATAGAATATTTTTTTGTTTTTTGGTTTCTTGAACGCTCGAAGAACTCTTCAGGTGTTATAATATTAGTATAGATTACCTCGAATTAAAAACGTAAAATTCAGGAACTAACATCTTGAATTGTAATACCCAATAATTTTTAAATAACTACATATCTTGAAATCATTTATATACTCGGTAAATACATGTTGGCAGAAATAATATAATTAGGCAAAAGCTACATAGTTAATAAAAATAAATAATACCCCAGATAGAAATCAAAAAGGGAGCGCAGATGATAAAGTGAAGCACGGGGAATCACCTGAATCGAATGGGGAAAAAGTTATAAGAGAAAAGGTCTATTATTTTCGCTATCCCTCTTTCATCACATCGCTTTGATTGCTGTTTGTTGAGAGCGCAAAATATTGCGGGCAGCCCTGACCATTTATTTCTAAAGATAAATTCGTATACCGGAAGGTTGGCACGTGACTCGGATGTGTCGCCGATCCTTTGGCCGGTAATCGTGAGAGACTTTCTGTTTGCTTTATTTAATCTAGATTATTTAACATTATAAGATAAAAAAATGTAATGACCTACGCCAACAACGAGCGTGCAGATGCCTACGTTGGATTGTTCAATCGGAGCAACGACATAAAGTTAGCCGGTTGGAATTCGGTTGTTATCGATTTTAAAATCTATGCTTATATTTCTACAAATATGTATACTTAAATTTAGTCGTATTAGAACACTGAATTGTATTATGCAACACGGAGATCTCATAATAATATTATCAAAGTCAAAACACAACTTTTCAAGTTGCGAGAGTTCTACAAACTCTGTCTTGTGTTTCTCGTAATATAACAGTACTTCGTTAACCAATTGTATTTCGTTAAGTTTCCTAAATTATCAATGAAGTAATATAAAGAATATGTGTAAATAATATATATATATATAGAATTGAGAATATATAAAAACTAATAAGCAAGCTACGGACAACATGAATATCAGGGAAATATTAAACTACAGAGGCCTTTACAAGACTAATCGGATTATCTTATTAATTAAAATGTCTCTGTTTATAAGACCTAGATTACAATTTTACTATCAAATGAATTCAAGATTATATAAGCCAATTTCTTTACGATGTACTTATTTATAATTTTAAAAGTCTGATTTGTTTGTATTTTCTTCACAAAATTACGGTATTTTTTTGCTTTAGGAAACATATTTTTGTACGAGGATTGTCATTTCTTTTCAGTCTTTTCTTTCTTGCCTGTTTTTCAAGTTCGAAGACACATCAATATGGTTAAAAACAAAAGACTCTAACTTTGATATTAACTTCTCTTTTTGTGAAAAACGAGATTACCTTGCGAGTACTTAATATAAGCTTTATTGTGTGTCTTAATTTGATTCACACCCCGTCCAGTGCATTTAAAATTAAACTACAATGAAAAGCGCTTCACTATGATGAAGATAATTTTATCAATTATAGTAAACGAACGCTGATGAATATTGCGGTTTGAAGGTAAATACGTCGTTGTATCATTTCAATCTACAAGAATGATAACTAGGGATGTGCCAAAATTCGGTTAAAATTAATTTCCGCAACTCGATATGAAATTTCATATGTGAAGTAATTGTAATTATTAGTAAAAATATATATGAGATAAAAAGAAATTAAAAGTGTGTTTGAATCGGCACCCACAGCGTTCCGTTCTAACTAATTGAATCTTAATAGATTTTTATGTATCTAAAGCCATCATGTGAAAATTTTTAATGCCTTGCAACAAGTCGTAATCACAAATATTAACTCAATATTAGGTATATGATCGCCGCTGTAGATCAGAAGTAGCAGGTGGACACAACTTATCGTTAAAACTAAATGTTCGGTTCGGTTCAAGGCACATTCGGCCCATCTCTGCAAATCGCAATAATTTCCTGCGTAACTTAGGGAACTGCTTAATTGGTTGCGGATAACTGAGAGAATAGGGACTTTATAATTAAGAACGTTTAATCCTGTTATAAGTGTTACCAATTAACGGGTTACTTCTGTAAAGTTGTTGAGTGGCAATTTGTAAGCCCGATTTAATTTTGCGCTAACTTATACTTTTATGAGCGATGATGTCATCGAATATATAGGTACGCAATTTGGTGACACGCCCCATAATTTAGATATAAAAGCTTCATCGAAATTGATATAGTATTTTAAAATTGACCAAATTGATTAACAAGGCCTTGAGCCTGAACAACAGCGTATTATACCGTTGGAGTTGCTGTGTCAATTTGTCTCCTTTCACGCTTAAGAAAAATATTTTTCTCTTTCACAAAAATCGTTATAGATTATTCAATTATTATTGAATCGATTTTTTTTAATTAAAGTCAAAATAAAACGTCAGAAATTATAGGAATTCTATACCCATGCTATGCTGTTATAGCGTTATTCTCTTATTTTACGCTCAAAGTAGCTAAAATATTGTGTTGTATTCGCATATTTACTCTCAGCCAAGTAAATTTTGCGTTAACAAGTAAATAATTAAAAGGATTCAAGTACATTTGACACGTGATGTTTCAATTAATCTTGTTTAGCTGATGTGTTTCACTAGCTTACCTTGATTACTATATTCACGAATTTTAGCGCAAACGTGTCCAATCAAGTCAAATTAAACCTGTCAACATTTTAATTACAGTTTCCTGGGTTTAAATTTGACAGCGCCTAGGTTATTTACGATTCACAAATGCATATTTTATTAGAACCATAGACTAAATAGTATTATAGAAAAACGAATTCATAAATTTGACATGCTTTTATAGAAGTTACTTCATAATTTCTTAATGATAGTAATAAAAAAATTCGCTTTAAAAATACCAAATATCATATTTTTAACACTATTTCAAAAATAGACAATATAATATAAAAATACTGGTAAACAGCGCTGAACCATGCAATCTTGTCGCGTTTTAAAACGTTAAAGTGTTTTATTTAAATGCGATTAGGACTCTATTTCGCTGACTGTTTTAAAATCTTTATTTTAACGCACCCCCATCCTCCCTCGGGATAAAAGTGATGTTTGATGGCACGGGTGTCAAGTTCTCGGCGTCTTAGGGCGGGCACAGTACGATGGAGAGACCGAAGCTCCCGCTCGCGTAGGGCTCCGCCGGTCGACTCATCTTCCAAGTCAGGCCATCCATCTGTTATAAAAGAATACACTTTAAAGTTTCACGATTAATGATAGGTCAGCTTATATAGGTTTTGTAAAAATATTCTAAAATAAAAAAAATCACGATACTGAATTTAAAGACCATTGACTTGACATTCGACCTATCGATGATTAAGATCGAAAACCTATAAATTTTTAATCAAAGTGAAAAACCCGTTACCCCTCGTGGGGTATGGGGCAAACATATTTCTGAGTCCGTTACACTGATCGGGTTTATTTAAGGGTGATCAGAGACTTTGACGTCTTTTCCCCTGGTTCGAACCCGGGGAAAAGACTTTAATTTTATTTTTGAACTATACGTGGTACACATAAATAACGAGAGTAATAATATTTAGCAAATTTTTATTTTTAATTCATATGTATTTGTTGGGACAGTGACATATAAAGAGAAAAACTACGAACATGTTTTTAAATACTCAAACAGATTAAATTTACAGACACGATGACCCTAAAAAGTACGAAGCTATTCACTAACCACTTTCGTATGCAAGACGTGACTTTTTAATATAAAAGCTTTCTATAAAACATACATTACAATACATTTTAGCTTACACAAATTTACTTTAAAATCCAAATAATTTAAATACAGGTGAGACTCGAACCTACGACGTTATTTTTGAAAAATTTTCCTGTAAACTTTCTCTTCTTTTATCTTGAGTTGCCTGGAAGAGATCGCTTGTGAACGATAAGGCCGCTTTTTGCACTTCGTTTTTATTAGAAAGTTTCGTTGGTATTTTTGTTGTTTTTTTTTTGTGCAATAAAGTAAGCTAATAAATAAATAATCTAATTTCTTTAACCCTCTAACTCATATCTCCCTTGACAACGTAACAGTTATAAAGTCCTAATCAAAGTACTCAAAGTTATTGTGGAGCTCCAATAGTCGCGTGCGACTAACATAACGGTTTGCGGGTTAAGTTTTAACAAGTTTAATTTCTACATACTCTGGACTGTTTGCCAAAGCGGATATTAAAGGTGAAATAGGAAAAGTAATTAATGGAAATCGCTTTGGGCTTTCACATCGGAAAGCTGTTTCGTTGGGTTCTGAAAGGTTTATTCTGAGCTTGCCTACATAGCGGTTTTTTTATTAACCTAACATGTAGGCAATTTTTTATGATACAGGAGGATCGACAAGTATGGGGTTGATGGATGGTTTAATTACTTATTCAATTAATTCTATGTATGTGTCACCAATGGGTTTATCTGATATCCGAGAAACGTATGTCACTGAAAATATTATTGTTACCTTTAATTTTTTTTTACATGTTATTGCACATGAAGGCACTATACAATTTAAAAATCGAAAATAGTCCTGCCCGAGTCGAAAATTTTTTAAATTTATTTGGAAATCTTGTAATGATTATTGTTACTTTTTTTTATTATTGTATCCTCAATCCTCGACTGTACTTTTACAGTTAGCACATTTTTTTTTAAATATTACCCTTTTAATTGAATATTTAGCTATAATTAATATTATATTTGGTTAAAAAACTATTTATCGCAGTGGCTTTTTATTTTCTTAAATGTTTTATTGCTTTATTATTATTCCGACTATCTAGTCCAATATACAGTTACAATATAAAGATTCGATTTCGGGCTATGTTTTTATAATCAAGTTCTATTTTTGAAAACCTGGATGATTACTTCATCAGTTAGATATTTGTGTCTGTCTATAGATTTGTGTATGTCTAAACACAAGTAAGACTGATCGTCGTAACTAGGGTTATTTCCTCTTCCATCAAGGGAAACATCTTGTCTATCCTCCAGATTTTGTCTGTCCATAGATTGTCCACAGAAACATAGAAAGCACAAACTGTGTAATAAGGAAAGACATTAAAGTTAAAAGCTTCGTGATGACACCAACGCGTTATGATAATACAACTCTCATACTATGTGTATATGACCTTAATATTCGTGTTGATGACTATTGCCATTTGCATTAGATGTTTCTCGTGTAATATAATATAGGCTGATAGTAGGGCACTCTTACGAGTAACACAGTCAAAGGATAGTTGTGATATGATTTCATAAATTGAAAGATAGCCATAAGGCCATTGCTCTCCATAATTAGCAATACTTTTTTTTATTTTTCCTAATATGTTGAAGACTATTCTTATATTTACTTTGTGTGTGTTGCAATAAAGAGTTAAATAAATAGATAAGTAAATAAAATTAAAAGTTTAACTAAGTTTACATTTTTGTTTGATATGAGGACAGATAATTGATCGAAACTAAAAACCACATGTTTATAATACATCTCTTAAACCTCCAAATTAAGATGCACGTTATCTATTTTGGTTTTGTATATGCTGAAATCCTCAGACTGTAAGCAAAACGCAATTTAACTTCATTTTCTTTTGTGGAGGATGAAATTTTGATATTCCTACCACGAAGTCCATTCTGTTACAAAAAATATATAATTTGATTAGAAATATTCAATATAATAGAAGTTTCGGTAGAGTCGAGCACGGAGTTTGATCAGTAATTGGTCTGATCTTGATTATAAATCGGTCTGAAATTAAATTTGTAATAAATTAGTAAAAAAAATTATTAATAATTATAGATTTTTAAACAAACAATTATAAAATATAGTTAATAAGTAACTTAGAAGCAAATTAGTAATTTGGGCCGAATTGACAGTATTTTTTTTAATTACTTATTCATTTGAAAACTTTATTATTTTTTACTTCTTATTGCACATGAAGGCACTATATAATTTAAAAATCAAAAATAAATTGAAAAAAAAAATCGACTCGGGCAGGACTTGAACCGGCATCGTCAGCGTTCTGTTCAGAGCGACAGCACGGAACTGCCCGAGTAAAACATTTTTTCCATTTATTTTCGATTTTTAAATTACTTATTCATTGATTCGAACAAAATCTGCTATCGTTTTTACTATTGTATAAATGACAAATACGGTCAAACCTAGTTGCGGGATATAAACCAGAAACATTATATTTTTCACTTGTTATCCTATTGTCTGTTAGCGGCTATAGTTATGTATGTTGTATCGGTAGTCAACAGGAAATATCCAACAACAAAACATTGCCTTTACCGTGGCTTTATTAATTTACGGCGCGAGTGAAAATGACATTTTGTTGATTAACGGCGACAACATTATTATATCCCCCGATTACCATTGACAATATAATAAATAATCTCTTGGTTCAGCAAAATATCAGTGACGTTAGTAATCTTTGTGTGCAGAAAAGGGCAGAGCTCTGTTTAAAACAGTAGGACAACTGTCACAGTGCTGTGTTTATGTAGGTTTCTTCATGATTTCTTAGAAAAGAGAATTGCGATGTTTTAATGATGTAATCTCTGTGAAATGAATGATGATATGATATCTGCAATATCTCAACGAAATCCTTATTACTGATTAAAGCTTAAGAATTTACTTCAGTCAATTTTAAAATTAGGTCACTTACATTTTTAGAAATTAAATTTAATATTTCACTAGACTTAGAGGTAGTATAAATGAATTTCTTATACTTTTAAAATTTAGGGCCCCGAAGTTTAAGCAACGTCTTTTTTGCTAAACAAGTAGGTCGTGAACACAGTCAAATGCAAACAGTAGGACAAGATTACCGTAATGTGGTAGGCAGTTGTAGCTGTTGGAGAGCGGCTGCGTGGAGCGGCAGCGGCAGCGGCAGCGGGGCGGCACGGCACGGGGCGGCGGCGGCGGCGGAGAGGCCGACGGAGACGGCGACCACCAGCCCGCCTCCATCAGCCGGCCGCGCCCGCACCTGCATTCGCAACCGCACCCGCACGCCCGCCCTCGCTACCTAAACGAACAAAGGTTATTATAATTAAGGTATTAGTATTGGATTTATTTAAAACAATACTTATTTAATAAGGATCGAGATCATACAAGGATGCTGTAAGCCCGGTGTATAACAAGCTTTTGAAGTTTAAAACACCAGAATTAGACCTTGAAAATACCTAATTTCAAAGCGTTTTTAGGTCGCTGAGGTTAACTTTGACTAAGAACGCCCTTCTTTTTCGAATTGAGGTTAAGAATGATTGTATAAGCTGACACAATAAACACTATATATAACACGAAATTCTCCTCTCAAACTTGTATATTCTACATTAACATTGTTTCTATAGAAGTTGAAAAGCAAATGAAATAAAAGATATAACCTACATTGGTTTTAACCTAAATACACGTATGAAATAGATTTAAAACAAACAAACTCAAAATACTACACGTAAACAAGAGATAAAGAGAACAGCATTGTGATATATATCTTATGAAATTGGATAGCAACTAGTTTTTATTTTTCAATATCCACGGTAAAAGTTTTGATTCTAAAATGCAGCTTTCAAGATAATGTTGCGTCTAGCATTTCTTTGAGACTAGTTACTTATCTACCTTTATGTATTCTTTTAAATAATCTATTTTAAAAATTAAACATACTCTGAACTATCTAAGATAAAAACTTTCCAACATACTGATTTTTTAAATACATGATATCTAAGTAATTCTATAGGGGTTTAGATATACCGCCATATTTAAAATATTTATTAGAGAAGGCTCTTCACAGTATTCGACTAGAAGCTTTTTCGTAGTTTGATCGCGATGTTGTCATAAACGCCGTGGGACAAACAAAATATCTTTCACTTAATTTGACTGTACTTAAAGATCTTTATCCTACAAATTTGAGCCTAAACTATATTGGATTGCGTTATGCAAGTTCTTTAAACGTCAGAAATTCTGGACCCAGTGTTTTTTACCTAGTACCAATGTTTGCTTGATGTTGTTTTGTTTTCTTAAATGCCTAGCCATTTAGAAAAACATGATAAAATGGTCGAAATGACAAAAGATAACCTGAAACGACTTTATCAAGTTTTGGGGATGAAAGTAGCGTTTGAGGACCATTCAAGGATTCAAGCAGACCAAGGGATATGTCAAGGGGTCTTTATGAATAAGATATGTATACCTAGCGCAGCTGCACCGCTCCACGCCTTCGCTCACGCTATATACACTTCCGCGACGCATCCGAACTGCGTCACACCACCCACATGGTCACATCTGCATGGCGGACATCACTGCAACCTCCACGTACACCCATTTCATTTCAGCTCCCGGATTTAAATGGTGTAAACATTGTTAGAAATCTGAAACAAGGTAGAACCTATATATATAACTTTGAATAAAATCTCGACTTCTCCTTATGTTAGAAATGTATAGCTTGTAATTAAATCAATAATAATAATCAAAGGGTCGGTCAGTTCGATTTCCATCCCACAACTTGTTTCTAGGCCATTTATAATTTTTCTGAAACATATCGGACTTCGTTTTGAAATTTGTATATAAATTGGGTAGTGAGAATAACGAAATTCCTTACGGGACACGAACCACCATCCTAATCCCTTTTCAGTTTCAGTCAATGGATTTCCTATTATCCAAATTCTTGGTTCGCTGGAATATTTCACTCACCATCAAGTAGTTTACTTCCTTTGTCTATCTTCCTCTCTTACAAAAAAGTTCACCAAAGCAACCTTTCAATCGATTCTATCGGAGAAGCGAAGTTTAAACGTAATACCATTACGGCGCACAGTACACGTTAATGATCTCTTATCGTGCGGCGCACGTATTAATATGACCACGAGTGTCACAAACAGGTGTTTCGGCGCGATATAGTGACAACGAATCGCCATTAACCGCTATTTTCCACTAAGAGCTTAACTAAACGCCCAAAGTCCGTTCCTTCTCTGTGAATTAAATCGAAGTAACGTAATTGTAGGCGTGGGAGACAATATCTTCGTTAAGTACAAGCTAAAATGTGGTTTGTGCTATCTATATTGACATATGTTGCTGAAGAGTTTTTACTACCTACTATTATTTAACTTTAAAGCAAGCTATAAAAACATAGAGTTCTGGACAGACAGAATTCAAAAAATTATTTTCTCTTTATAATGATTCCTCTTTAAATGATCTTTAAAAAAGTCCCGACAGTGTTGTCTTATTTTAAGCAAGAAGGACGACTCATGGGTAGCTCATCTTATAAAATAATTATTCTATGCCTACAATAAGAGTTAACATAATTATATGAACAGTCGTTGACAGGGAATGGTACTATTTTGGTAAATGTGTTTCTTTAGATCGATAAAATTTTTGGTATATATACATAAATTTATATTTTTCCCTTCAAGCTATCTTTATTTTTTTTATGATGAGTACCAAAATGTTCCATACAGTAAATACCTCATTTTAATTGGATATTAGAAACCGTTGAAACAAAAAAAACGCGATAAAGGTTCACGGCGTTTTTATATGTGGACGGTGATTCGCGATCTGGACTGAATTTCATTATTCTACCACCAATTTTTCCAGTGACGATGATTTCCACATTTTCGTTTACTCTTCTTTTGTATGTAAGTTACATTAGGATATTTAAGGAACATTAGGTTCTATCAATCGATTACTATTGAAGTTTTAATTGTAGTAACTCAATTTTAAATTCTTTTAAAGATACAGCTCTGAGGTAAATAATATTATAAACTGTAAAATTAACGTCTTGAAAAGTAAAATACTGCAGTTGAAGTAGAAGCAAAAAGCAAGTTACATAAATCATCAAATGCCTTCGAGTCTTCCAGTGGACACGTGGATTCTGGACAGTAGTTAATATATCTGTGCCATTACTCAGGCAAGTGACAACTAACGCGACATCTTCAGACATCCAGTAAATGATGGCGTGCTGAACTGAATGGTGGAGGACCATATAATTAACCGCAAACATTCCAACTGCTTTTTGTAATCAGAGTTAAAACGCGATATATATTAGTTAAAGTTATTTTAACTACAGCCCAACGTTTCGGATGCTTTGCAGCAGCCGTCGTCACGGCGAGGCACGGGTTCGGTAATGTCGGGCCACATTTAAAATAATAAGTATATATCGAGTTTTAAACCGTTAGAGTGTTTTATTTAAATGTGTTCTACTTGCGTAAACTAAAATTAGTAAAATATTTAATTAACCAGTACGGAGATATCTTGTTTTATTATATGTGACGAAGCGTTGTCTGGTGGCCTGATAGAATATTTAAAATAAACGACTCTTCCTACGGTACAAAAGACTGTTTTAAATTTGATTATCACAAAATAAAACAGTCTTAACTCATAAGTTTTAAAACTCACCACTGTTTATTTTTATTGTTATCAGATAATCATAAAGCATATAATAAACAGATATAGAACAAAATTTATTAATTTTCTTAGACAATTATAATATTACTATAATACGCATAGGAACGTCCCATAACTCTTTTAATATTTCGAAAAGAGTATTAAAAAAGGCAACTGCCATAAAGGAAAGTAAGTAATTAAAATTTCCCAGCAATATTAAAGTCCATAAATAGCGTCCATAATAAGCTTTTGCTGGAATGGCAGAAAATATCCGGATTACTAATCTCATGAGATTAAAATTACATTACTGGCTGATTTCACTGTAATATTAAAATGGGTTTATACTCTACAATATGTATAGATGTGATGGATTTTGAAATTTATATTCGAAGTAGATATCGTATTCACTTTGTTGATCGATGCTTATACGACTCTGTGGGGCATAGGACAGAAATATAATTGCGCGCTTATTTCAGTATAGTACTTCAATAATAATATTATTTCTCAAGGACTGTTGTAGTTTACGCGAGTAGTGTAAAACCCGAAATGTGTTAGTTATTCTTATTTACCAATAACCTACGGCCCATTATTTTTCTCTTTTTTAATATTTTTCAAATAAGTAACTATTTTTTTTTTTTTTTTTTTTTTCTTCCCCCCCCCCCTTTTTTTTTTTTTTTTTTTTTTTTCCCTTTGCATCCGAACCCAGGCTAGATTCCCTGGGTTTTAATATATTTTTCGCCATTGAGAGAGGTTTCACAATTTGTTTATATTGCATTTATTGTCCTAATATATGTAAGATACATATTAAAACGTTTTTCTTTCAAGGGATATGTATGAATACATTACTTTTATGCTAACATCTAAAAATAATGCATTATAAAGTGGAATAGCAATAATTGATAATAATTTATTACATGCATTTATATATAATTGTATTTTATTACACATGAATTTACGATTATGAAGCCAGATGTAGGTTAAGTATAGGGCATCTTGGTTGTAGGGACGCTTTGATGGGCCATAACCTTGTATTATTAAAATTAATTACACACGTTTATTGCTTCTATAGAGGAGCAATTCAATAATGTTTATTCAGCAGACAAATCGCAATAAAATGTTGCCAGTAATATATAGTCAATATTTGCATTAATCTGTGCTTTGACATCGATGACAGTCTGTTTATACTCGTAGTTAAAGTAAATGTTTAAACCCATATTTCTAGTTGTTTAGTAACGAAATCATGGGGCACACTACTATGTCCGTTTTACATATAAATTTACTATCTACTACTACTGTTTTGTATTTACGCGAGAGTACGTGCACATTTACATAAAACATTGTAAGTTTAGCGATATATTTTGAAATGTCCAAACATTTAGTTAAAACGCGAAATATGTCGGTTAACTTTGTTTTAACGTCGAGCCGTGCTTCTCGAGATTTATTAATAATCGTTTGCAAAAAATAACTAATTCAGAACATTTTTTATGATATAAGAATACGTTTTACAAATTGATTTTTGTCGAGAACAAAGTTCTGAATTGAAGAATAATGTTAAACTATAACATCGCGGATCAAAGAACAAATCAAATATTTATACTTTGATTGTGCCAGATAGCTGCTATACAAACTAAACTCGCATTTCAAATAGAAAGCTATTTTAAACTAGCTCAAACATAGATAGGAGGCGTGGTTGTTACGCCCCATATGGGACCATCTGACACCCAGGTTAGGTTTACATGGTATTGTTTTCGCCTACACCTCTTTTTTTGGGTGATTTTTTGTCTGTACCAATATACAATACGTAGGCAGTTATAAGTCTTAAACTGTCTGACACACAAATATAAGAAAGGCTTCATTAAAAACATTATTAAAAAATAATTCATGGATAAAAAAATAATCCTTAATTTATTTTCATTATTTAAATATATAATTTTTATTAAATGGATCTTCTACGATCCATATAACGCATGAAGTAATACAATTATATATGTAAGTAAACCATTCCACTTATAGAAACATTATATTTGAATTTTTAAGTCCTAAATATAATAAGTCTACAAAGTATGGTTGTGTGTCTTTTCTTCCTGGCCTAACAAAGTAATCAATCTACTTGAGGTAATTAATAACAGTGAGTATAATGTATCTTTTGTTTTATACGGAAAATAATTTTGTAGGTAGATTCACAAATATCACTTTTTCTTAGCTCTATTTTTTAACTATATTCTTATTTATTTATTTAAGTCCTTTTTTTCAACCTAAAGTTTGCCTGGAAGAGATAACTGCTTACCGATAAGGCCGTTTATTTATAGGTTAGTACGTAAGATTTTTCCTCTTTCAGTGGTATGTATTATAAATTATAAAGCTATAATAAATAAAATAATAAGAAATACTCGACTACATCTCCCTCCTAACTATAACCTGTGTAATAAAATAGATAACCTTTTAAAAACCCCGCCTTGCATATTCACATTCACGCGATAAATATTAACGCTTCCAATATATTCCTTATCACGGGTCTACGTGCATATGCTTTCATAAAATCTATCGCTTCCGCATGATTGCACGCTCCGCGTCGAGACTTCAGCGTTTTTAGCGTGTCTGTAACAATATATTGCGTTGGTTCCCACACTATTTTAGAACGGTTTTGTAGTATGTAGTATCTGTAGTAGTATATGTAGGCGAGAGACTTAAATAAAACACTTTTTAACGGTTTTAATTTTTAATTTAAATACGGGTACGTTTCAGGACAGGTTTAATTAGTTGAAAGTTAACTAATATAATTCGGGATTTAAATCGGTATGTGTTATTAAAAGGTTTTGTTTACTACCAATTCAGACTACAATATGGTCGGTTTTAGAATTAATTATATATATATTTATTATTTTTTAAATCTATTGGCGTTCATAGGTGTACCTACCTAGATACATAAATAGATGTTTTTTTTATTGTAATACTCTTAAGTATGTAAT